TTGAGAAGATCTTTTTGTAGCTCTAACAGTCAATAGACACATTGAGCTTTTGACATAAGATCTAGGCAGCCCGAAGACCGTTTAGCAGATGCGCATCTTTTCGTGCGTCATTTCAGGTCTTTCCGCACGAGATTAAAATGTGAAAGACACGAGAAGATTCATTTGAAGCTTCCTGAAATTAGCCCAAAATGGGCTTTGCACGTCTTTTGGCAGCTAGAACTTCCGCATGCCAAACAGGAATAGACTGATTCTTGGTCTTTTCGGCTTGTAAATAGCCGAAAGACCGCATGGAAAGATGCGCCAAACGGGCCCTAAGTCTTTGTTTGGAGTCCACATCAACTTGTCTTCCCATTCTCCTTTAGCTAGGGGATACTTAGAATTTCATTTGCAAAGACCTCACTAAAATTTCCTTGAACCATGTCAACCTTCCAACCTCTTGAATCATCTCGCATTAAGTCCTTCACAGTCTGCAGGTTTGTGTTTTGGACTCTAGGTCCCTGAATTTGGAATCTCGGGGTTCTAGGGAGCCAAGGGTCATCCCATAAATTAATATTGTCCCCCTTGTTAAACTACCCAACAAGCTCCAACTTTAATAACTTCCCTTACGGCCAAGAGACTTTGCCACCAGAGATTGGCTTCGGTCAGGGCAAGTTCGTGCTCACACCTTGCGAACAACCTCTTGCAACCTTGCATTGGGAATATCTCTCTATGAAATAAAGCACATAAGTACGGAGATATTCCCAATTCAAGGCTGTAAAGGTTGTTTGGACAGGCATTGCCCTGACCAAAGCCGAACTCTTGCCACCCCATGACTAGGGGTGGCAAATTTTCACCCAACCCATTAAACCCACCCAGTATCTAACCCACCTAACCCGCCCATTTACTTGGTGGGTTGTGTGATCAACCCATCACCCAACCCGTCCATTTAAATGGGTTGGGTTGTGGATAACCATTGGGTTAACCATTATAGATAAGTATTAATTCCTTAGCCTTTTTTTTTAATTTTTTTTCATTTGAATTAAATAATTTATAATTAATGCATTAATTTTCTATTAATTATTGTCTAAATTTAGTTTTGTCTTGAATCAACACACTTCGCCCAACATAAATACAAATCAATTTGACCCGAGTTCGGACCAATTCAACGTGGTCTGACCCGATCTGGGTCCACCCGAATCCGAAATAGACCCCAGGCGAGATGGTTCAACACCGCTTGCTTTGTCCCAGTTTGGGTTGTCCGGTCCAACCAGCATCCACATAGCCCCGCCCTACCTGGTACAAGCCGATCCGGGTTGAGCCTAAATCGCCCCTCTTGCTTTGCCCAGTTTGGATCGTCCGGTCTGGTTTGTATCCATACAACCCGACCCGAATCCGGCCCAGTCCGATTTAGCTCTCTTGACCAGATTTGGGCAAGTCAGTTTGGTCCCAGACCTGTGTACAAACCTGATACGAGCTGACCCAAGCCAATCCATCATTGATTGAACCGGTCCGAATTAGTCCAATTGAACCAAACCGGTCCAGTTGGAGTCTAGTCTGAACAAACTGATCCGGATCTAAATGGTTCAACCACTCTTGATGTGATTAACTCAAAGACAACCCAATTAGATAGTTCAAGTTGGTCTGACCGGTTTGAACCTGAGTGATTCGTCTAATCCGAAACCCGAACATAGTTAAATGGCTTTGCTGCTTGTGTAAAAATAAGGAAAATCTATAATACTGAAAAGATATGGTTTGGAAAGAGTTTTGACCAATCAAACATATAAGTAATGTGATTTAAACTTTCACCACTTATATAAATAGCAACTACTATTACCACCAAGCTATGACCAACTTATTTGTTAAGAGAGAATTAATTTTTCGTTTTAAATACATAAATATAAGATTAATGGGTTTGGACGGGTTGGATTAAGTTAAAATGAGTTTGGGTTGAATTCAACCCATTTAATTTTATATAACTAGGTCATTAATGGATTCACAAGTTAAATGGATTGGATTTAAAACTCAACCCAATCCAACCCGCCCTATTGCCACCACTACCCATGACCCTTTAATAACTTCCCTTGCGGCCAAAAGACTTCTTCAAATGGTTTAACCACATGAACGAACCCCAACTTCAAAAACTGTCCTGAAGCCCAATAAACCTCCTTTGCCATGCTAGGGTCGAAATTTGTTTACAAAACAGTCAATAACTCAACCCATTGCTAACCCTAACCATTGGCCAAGGACGAGGAAAAGTCTTTGCTTTTTGTCCGGTGCATGTCCTTTTTTTACTGTTGCTGCAAGCCTGCAACAAGCCATGTACGAATGCCATGTCCTTTTTTGTTTCTTTGTTTTTTGTCTGCTACTTTTCGTTGTTCTGTACGTCATATATTTGGGCCCCTCCACCTAATAATTTCTCTCTCTCTTTGGTAAGTTGATTTTTTTAATATTTATTTAATAAATAATGTTTCACACCCACTGCCATCTCCTCACAAATGGGCGTCTCACACGCACATCCATCATATATTGGGAATCTCCCGTGAATATTTATTATGAAAGATATTCCCAATGTATGATAGAATGTGCCAGTGAAACGCAAATTGTGAGGAGCAGATCCAGTTTCGTTATTGGGATCCACTGGATCCAACTGGTTCGCCAGCTCACTCTCCCTTGCCAATCCGACGGTCAAAATTCCATTAAAAATTAAATGGATTAAAACCTAAACCTAAAAAATCTTGAGTGAGCCAGTTAGATGGAGTGGATCATGTGTCGCTATCCATTTTTTTTTTCTTATATAACCCGACCCGACTATCCCACACTTACCTTGGAGAATCAATGATGTCTGTCTGATTTGACCGTTGACTTTTTTGGTCCCACCAACGTATAAAACCCCTGACCACTAACCACAAACCAAGCAGCATCTTTCTTTAGTGGGGCCTAAAACCATCCTATCCTCTTGATCACTATCTATCGGTCAAATCCATCTTACTTGCATGCAAATCTTAGTTAGTTAATGAGAGAAAAAGAAAGTCTACTGTCCCCGATAAAACACTACACCGAACCGAACCGCGACAATTTGGATTCGAATCCGCATTGCGTCATCTCTTTACTCGCCAATCGCCATCTCCCAGCATTTCCCCCTTTTTCTCTCCGCTCTCTTCCAAATCTCCAACCATTTTCAGATTTTCTTCCGCCTTTTCCTCCCAATTCGACGCCTATCATCCCGTTCCCTAACTTTAATAATCATCATCATCCTCAAATAATTCCAATCCAATGGCCTTCAATAGAGGAATTGGAATCTGCTCCTCACATCTTGAGAGCAGATCCGGACTCTCAGTAGAGAAGATGGCGTTAAGATTCTGATCATGCATAGCTCACTGACAGGTGTACTGATATGCCGAGTGTTTAGATAAGGGATTCTTGTTTTTGCCCTTAATATTAATAAAAAATAATATTTTTATATAATAACTAAAATAAGATAAGTTTCATCGAAAAATATCAAAAAAAGGGCACTGTTGCTCGTCTTCTCCTCTGCTTTTGTATCATGTAAGGTTCCGGTCAAATTATAACCAGAAATGCTTTTCACGTCCCACAAATGGCGACGACAAAACATAAAATAAGATTCCGGCGTAAAACAAACAGTTTTTGAAAGCATCCTTGTGCTGCGAAGACTGATCTGATTTATTGCCCGATCTGTTCGAGACACTGAAATCCCTCCGCCTGAAGACCATCCGAGCAGAAATGGCGACGTTGGGAGGTAGAGTCCGAAACGTTCTAGTCGTCGCCGAAGAGGGAGACAACAGCGACGAATCCATCGGCTTCTTACGGGACGCCTTGAAAACCTTGGTGGAACGATCCAACTCCAGCGGTCGTTCTAAAAGGAGTCGAATGATCGATCGGAGAACAACATGACTTTCCTCCTCGTTCTTCCGACTGCTTTGTTTCTTTTTTTCTTTATTTTGCTTTGTGTGTTGGTGCTTGTGGGTGGTCTTGTGTGTATCGTATCATCTGTGTTAACTTGTTCTCTGGTGATTTGGTTTGGTCCGATATGCTCTTGACGTTGAGGTCATGGTGCAGGTATGGAAAAACAGAAAAAGAATTAACGGGAAAGAAATTAAAAGCTTGTAAATAAATTACTGTAAGTTGCAGGAGAAGTCCTGTTCTGAACATTAATTAAACTTCCATTAATGAGCTGTGTGGTAATGGGGTTTGAGATTCTTTCAAGAATTTTAATCTTGGACGACAGAATGACGATTCAATTGATATAGCTTGAATTGAATGAATGGTCTGTGTCTGAGCTTCTGAGTCGTTAAAATCGAAATCCAGTGAAATAAAGCAGGAGAAGATGGCGGGCAAATGGTCAAGATGACATATTGATTTAGATCAGATGACGTAGGATTGGAATCTTTTCTCATAGAGATTGGTAGGATGAACTCAAGTCTCAAGTCGCCGTTCAATCTATCAGCGGTTGGTTTCACTTACTTGGGGGGAAATGGTTTGGAGATGAACAGTATTTTTGCGTTTATTTAATATATTTTTAAAAAATTAATTTATTTTAAAAATTATATTAAAAGAACTACGTTTATGATATTAGGGCTCAAAAGTTGTCCTTATCCGTCATAATTCCTTTAAATAAAACAGGAATGATTTGACTGATTAATTCCCTTTGAAAATGGAAGGAAAGAATCCGAGTAATAACAAACCAGTTACTGGACCCCAACAATTTCGGGTCGATAAGGGTAATTTCGTTAATATAATCTTTTGTTGCTATAACGAAGAGAAAGTATTTCAAAATTCTTAAGCTACGGTATTATCATACTCCCAACGAGCCTCATCATCCAGATTCGATGTAAACAACGGTGAGTCTTTTTGATTGAGGTAGTGAGCTCCACTCTCATTGAGTGACTCAGTGAAGTGAATGGATGAAATCGTAATTTGATACAAATATGAGGGCAAATTCCCTCTACTTTTGCTTCTGTGCCTGTTCCCCGACCCCAAGACGGCCGCACTGTCCACTCTCTCTCTTAATATTGATTGTTTTTCATCTTCTTCAAGTCTAGTTCTTGTATGAAACAGAAGACATGGAGAGACAACAGAGAGACTGAGACTGGGATCGAATCAAATCGAAACCAACCGAATTGGGAAACCCTAAGAAGCGATCTCATTGAGCTCTCGTCGGTAGATCTTTGAGCTTGGACGGAAACCCTAGCAATGGCGTTGCAGAAAGTGATCGAGCTTCGGAACATCGATCCACACATCTGGAAGGCGTGTGCTGGAAGCTCCGTGGAGATCCCCGTTGTCGGCACTAAGGTTTACTACTTCCCTCAAGGCCACGCCGAGCAGGCTTCTTCTGCTCCCAATTTCAGTTCTCTAGTTTGTGCAAAAGACATGGTTTTGTGCCGAATCGTATCAGTCATGTTCCTCGCGAATCCTGATACTGACGAGGTTTTTGTTAGGATCCGCCTTGAGCCGCTGGACCGGTCTCTCGCTGGATTTATCCGTAAGCCGCCAGTTGCGGTAGGATTTTCGCAGGATGGCGGCATTGATGATACCGAAGAGAAGGTCGTATCATTTGCGAAGATCCTGACGCCGAGTGATGCCAATAATGGTGGCGGGTTTTCGGTTCCAAGGTTCTGTGCTGATTCGATCTTTCCGGCATTAGACTACAAGGCGGAGCCACCGGTGCAGACGATTTCAGTGAAAGATGTGCATGGAGTGGTTTGGGAGTTCCGGCACATTTACCGTGGGACGCCACGTCGGCACTTGCTGACAACTGGGTGGAGTAAGTTCGTGAATCATAAGAAGCTTGTTGCTGGAGATTCTGTAGTTTTCATGAAGAATCAGAGCGGAGAGCTTTCTGTCGGGATCAGGCGCACTGCGAGGTCGAACGGTAGTGTGGACTGTATACGGTGGAATTATCATGTTGGAGCTGCGGCTAATTCCAGTACGAAATTGGAGGAGGAATTTGGATGTGGAGAAGCATTCTCGAGGAGTAGCAGGGGCAGAGTTCCGGCTGAGTCTGTAGTGGAGGCTGCTGAATTGGCGGGTGCAAATAGGCCTTTTGAGGTTATTTACTATCCAAGAACTGGCTCACCGGATTTTGTAGTGAAGGCAGAGGTGGTGGAGGAATCCTTGAATATATTTTGGATGATTGGTATGAGGGTTAAGATGGCCGTGGAGACAGAGGATTCTTCTAGAATGACATGGTTCCAGGGGACTGTTTCATCTATTGCAACTCCAGATCATGGGCCGTGGAAGGGCTCTTTCTGGCGCATGCTTCAGGTGAACTTGCGTTTTGCATTTCTGTTTGAGCTCTAAAGTTTAATTCTTGTCCTTCTTAATAATATTATATTATAGAATTATCTCTTTTCCATAAATAGCAACTCGTCTATGCTGCATTTGTCAATTGAATTTTAGGGTACTAATTATCCGAATCCTTACCATTTATGCTTTTATGACATATACAGTGATTTCTTTTTATCTAAGGAATAGTAGTGTTACTTCACTGGGTGGTCAACTGGTCTTATATGAAGTTTATATGGACCTAAACCTTTTTTTTTTCTATTTTCTTTTCTGTTTTTTCAGTATTCTATTTTTTTACGAGTACTGTAGAAGCATTATATTATATATGAACCAAAAAATGCCATCTTGGCCCAGTTACAAGCATGACATGGTCCTAAGTATAAGACCCGTGTACAGAGTTTACAGATTCATACATATTGAGCTGGAAAGATATATCCCATTCCGAGCAAAAATTTAAAAAGCTTAGATTTCTAAATTCAATAGATACCCAGAGGTAGATTGGCTTTTCAATTTTGTTTGGGACCTTTGGGTATTTTTATTTAAAACTCAATATTGAATAAATAGAAAAATCAGTTGTGTCTTCTGTTAACTCTTTAATAGATCCTCCAACGAGGTTAACCTTTCTGTTTTCATAGATACGATTAGGTCTGACACATTCTTCTTGAAGGGGTTTTACATGGCTATATATTTTTAGGAATTTGAATAAGAGTGTTTGAAATGTGATCTCTTATCAAGTTATCAATTATCATGGCTGTTAACATGCCTCATGATGTAAGTGGTCTTACTTTCTTTGGAGTATTTCTTTTAAGCAGAGTAATTGTCAAAGATAAGTGCCTGGCCCATGAGAGAAATAAGATCAAGGACTGAGGTAAAGTAGTTTCAACTGCTCGAAGGGAGGGTCATTCAAAGGATAATTATGAATAGAGTTTTGGAAAGCAAGATTACAGAGGTTAGAGGAAGAGGTGAATACAAATGTTTCGTCACAAGATTCAGTTACTCGGAGTTTCAAGAGGCGGAAGAAGAAGAGAATGGAAAGCAAGAAAGATCGTGGCAAAGAGAAACTGATCTAGAAAATTAATGTAAGTGATGAAGTGAACAAAGTGAGAGATATTGATCAAAAAAAAAAAAAAGAGAACAAAGTGAGAGAACTTGATTTTGGAGTGGAGGTAGATTTAACAACACAACGTAGATTAGTAGTGGTAGATATGCGCATTAGGAAATTGAGGAGATATAGGTGTTTGGCTCCTTTAGGTCTAAGCGATTAAAGACTTTTAGGAACCAAACTGACAATGAATGGGTCTAGGTGGTGACTAAGTTCGAGAACGGCAGGAAGGTCACCAATCAAGAAGAGCTGCAGTAGAAGGTGACACAATTGGGTTCAGTCCAGAATAAAAAGCAATAACAATCAAAAAACTGTGAGGAGGAAGAGGATTTGATTCCAAACGCGCGAAGGTTCAAATATTCAAATCCATTTGGAGGTCCTTCCTTTCAAAAGACTGTAGAGGAAATGTCTCAACAGATTTGTAGTGGGGATGGGAAGGGTGATGGAGTTTTTGAGGAATCTTCATAGATAGGAGACAAAGTGAGTGGCATCCAAGAGATTCTGGCTTGCCAGAAGGCAGAAGCGATTCAGGGATCATTACTCGCCTAAATAGTGAGGTATGCCCAGCTTCCTTTTCCCCTTCTTCTTCCCTGTCTTCTCTTACTTTTCATTCTCCAACAGGTGGGGGAGTTTCGGTTGGAGAGAGAGACAAGGAGGAATTTTGCTATGGAGATTAACATGGGAAGGGAGCTTGCTTGAAGAGGAAAAATTCGGAAGACGGGCACAACAAAGTCTATAATAGAAGGAGGATGAAGGAAGGGAAAAGGAAGAAATAAAGAAGGGGAAGAGATTTTTTGGGGGTGGAGAAAAGGCGATAGGGGGGTAGAAGCTGATAAGGGTATAGGGGAGATTTGTGAAGGGAAGGGTGGATATAGACACTCTGGTTGACAGGTAGGTGGAAGTTGGGAAATCACTTGGACTTTTCTTTCTTGTGGGGGGTGGGGTGGGGGGAGGGCAGTGAGAAAAGCAATTAAACAGTTTGAGAGAAACAAAAGGGAAGAATATAGTAAAAGAAAAACTATAGGTGGAATGTTAGGGGTTGCCTAACATCAGGAATTTGGAATTAAAATCTAGAATCAAGGAGTGGAATATTCAGCAATTTGTGAGACTTGAAGAGAGAAAACAGGAAATGATTGGCCAAATTAAAGAGTTTGCTAAGGACAGTAAAGGGACTTTTGAGGAAAGGGATAAGGAGGAAAGGTGGTTATTGAGGAAGTAGCTAGAGGATTTGTTGTTTAGGCTGTGTTTGGTTGCAGTGCAATTTTATTTGCACTGATGCAAAACCATGACAGTGCAAATGATTTGAGTGTAAATTCTGACCTAGTTTGCTAAGGACAGTAAAGGGAATTACAGTAAAGGGACTTTTGAGGAAAGGGATAAGGAGGAAAGGTGGTTATTGAGGAAGTAGCTAGAGGATTTGTTGTTTAGGCTGTGTTTGGTTGCAGTGCAATTTTATTTGCACTGATGCAAAATCATGACAGTGCAAATGATTTGAGTGTAAATTCTGACCTAGTTTGCTAAGGACAGTAAAGGGACTTTTGGGGAAAGGGATAAGGAGGAAAGGTGGTTATTGAGGAAGTAGCTAGAGGATTTGTTGTTTAGGCTGTGTTTGGTTGCAGTGCAATTTTATTTGCACTGATGCAAAACCATGACAGTGCAAATGATTTGAGTGTAAATTCTGACGTATTTTTGTTTAAAATTTTAGCTTATTTTGTTTGATTGCAGTACAAATGAAGTAAATTAAGACATGAAGCAGAATAAAGTAAAATCCAAAGCAAAATTAAACAAGAATTTGTATTTTTTACATTTGCACTCCCATGCATTTGTACCAGTGCAAATAAAATTGCATTGCAACCAAACACAACCTTAAGGAAAAAGTTAGCTAGAGGCAAAAAACTAGACATCAGTGGGTGAAGGAGGGTGATAGAAATACAAAATTCTTTCATGCCATGGAAAATGGAAGGAGGAAAAGCTTTATCTCTAAGCTTGTGATTAATGATGTAACACTTCAAATCTATTTATAGGAGACTCCTAAATGGAAGACTATGGTTGGAAGAGTTGGATTGGCCAGAGTTATTGAGGATCTTAAGGCTTGACTTGAAAGTAGTTTTGATTTGTAGGAAATAAAGTAAGCAATCTTCTCTATGGATAGATCTAAAGCACCAGATCTAGATGGGTTTATAATGACATTTTATCAAGATTGTTGGGACATTTTAAAACAAGACATGCAAAAGGTGTTTAATGATTTGAGAGGGGTGTGATAAATCCGGGGCTGAATTCCACTTTTATTGCTTTTATTCCAAAAATGTGTGGTTTAAATCACCCAAACGACTTCAAACATATCAACTTGGTTCATAGTCTTTATAAAATTATATTTATCAAAACAAAATGGTCTTTATAAAATTATTGCTAAGGTGATCTCGAGGAGAAATAGGTTTGTTATTCTTTACATCATTTCCTAGAATCAAGGTGTCCTTGTCATTACGCTATTTTGGTGAATGGGTAGTGGTACACCACTTTCTTGCAATTAGAGGGATTAGACAAGAGGACCTCCTTTTTCCTTTCCTTTTCACTTTAATTGCTGAAGTTTTGGGTAGGCTAATAACTAGGGTAGATTCTAGAAACTTGGTCAGGGGTTGGAGGGTTGACAGAAATAGGGTACTAATCAATCACCCATTTACAGTTTACTGATGATACTATCATGTTCTATGAGGGTGATGATATTAGTTAGATCAGAAACTTGAAACTGATGGTTCATTTTTTTTTTTTTGAGAAAATGTCAAACTTGATAATTAACTTTGACAAAGTTGTGTAGAGGGGGTCAACATCGATGACAGAGAGGTGGCAATGAGGGCAAATATTTTGGGATAATTTGAGGAAGAAGGAATTACTTTGGGGTTGCCTTTAGGGGATAATTCGAGAAATAACAATTTTTTTTGGAATCTACCAATGTATAGGTTCACTAAGAGGCTAGCATCATGGAAGAAAAATCATTTGTCTTTGGGTTGTAGGATCACTTTGATTAAGGTGGTGTTTGATAACACTTTTCGGACATCTAACATTTGAAAAACTTGCTTTTTAGACGCCAGACGCATTTTGGATGTGTCTGAATAGACAATCTGAAACAACTTTTCATATCTAAACTGGTAAGACCTAGGCCGAGCATTGAACGCGGTCAGACATGTTTCATACCTGGCCGAAAGTTTAAAATATCCTCAACTTTTTTAAAATGACATATTTACACCCATTTAAACCTGATAGAAGCTCATTCGATTTGTTGTCATTGAATGAGAGACGACGATGGAGAACTCACATAAAGAATGATCTCGATAGCTTGGACGACAATGATGGAGAACTTGCCTAAAGAATGTTGATCGAGGTCTTTGCACCAAAGAAGCGCATTGTCGATTCCGTCCTCGTCATCCTTGCTCATATCATACGGGTGTATCGCTGGAAAACATCCCTCATTTTCTCAAAAGAAGAAACCCTAAAGTCACCAACAATGGAGAACTCGCCGGAAAGAGAACCATCTCTCAAATCCCATTCTTCCCTCCCTCTCTCTCTCTCTCTCTCTCTCTCTCCCCCCTGTCTTCCCACCATCGCCGTTGTAATTCTCAACAGCGGTGATTAACACCCCTGTCTTCAGCCACTTGAGCTATTTGATCGAATTCATTGGTCCTTCGATGGAATGGAAACAAATCCTTTCTGGTGACAACATCGGAGAGCTTCCACCAACAACCTTATCATTCAACACAAATTACTTTTAGTTCCATTGGTGTCTAATACAACAACCCGTTTCTTGCTAATATCTGTATAAGACTTAGCAGAAGAAGCCCTGCTGTAATGAAGTTGTGCATGAGTCCCCCCGTGTCAGATA